TTTTGGTAATATCCATGAAGAGACTTAATAATGCTGTCAACCCTTTGATGCAATTCTTCTTCTTGGAATTGTTCTTAAAGGGAGAAAAAAAGACATAGACAAAGGAATATATGTGAATGTATAGGTGATGCTTGAATAACACAGATCGGTGCATCGGTCCACTAATAAGCATATTTTCAAAAAAATTTCTTAAGTTTATTTATTTATTTTGAGAGAGTGCATGCACACAAGCAGGGGAGGGGCAGAGAGAAGGAGAGACAGAATCCCAAGCAGGCTCTGCAGCATCAACACAGAGCCAGATTCGGGGCTCCAACTCACAAACTGCGAGATCATGACCTGAGCCGAGATCAAGAGTCAGATGCTTAGACAACTGTACCACCCAGGCACCCCACTAATAAGCGGATTTTTAAAAAATGTTTATTTATTTTTGAGAGAGAGTGAGAGGGGTGGGGGAAGGGGCAGAGAGAGAGGGAGTCACAGAATCCAAGGCAGGCTCCGGGCTCTGAGCTGTCAGCACAGAGCCCGACGCGGGGCTCGAACTCACGGACCGTGAGATCACGACCTGAGCCGGAGTCGGCCGCTTAACTGACTGAGCCACCCACGTGCCCCTACTCACCATCGTTTTTTTAATTACTAACGTATCATACCATACTTCACAATCTCCCTATTATTGCATATTCAATTTTTCCCAGACTCTCTAAACACTTCCCCTGTATGACCTTATCTAATCCTCACCACTTCTCTATGAGGTGGGATCTTTAGCCCCATTTAACAGATGAGGAAACTGAGGCAGGGGAGGAGAGCGGGGTGGGGGGGTGGAACAAAGTCCCACCACTTGTAAGCAGCTCCGCTGGAATTTCCCCCAGGAAGTGTGACTTCAAAGCTGATGCTCTTCAAGACTGTTCAAATTCATTCAATAAATACATTCGTCGAACGCCATCCGTGTGCCAAGCCTGCTGGATAATTACAACCACCGACATTTACTGAAGATTTTCTATTCTAGCAGGCCCTGTGCTAAGCACTTTACATGCACCACCTCATTTAATCCCTACAGCCAGCCTATGCACTTTTGTTATTCCAATTCTCCAAATGGGCAAACAGGAACAGAGAAGTTAAGTAACTTCTCCAAAGCCACACAGGCAGCCTGGCTTCAGGGTCTAGGCTTCCAACCATTTCTCTTCTTTTTCAGAGAATAAATGCTTGAGAGAGAAATAATAAACACGTGAACCAATGGATAATACAAAACAAGGTGACAAGGGGAGCTCGAAACGTGTCACAGAATACAAGATTGCCGCCATAAAAAGAGTGCAGAAGACACAGGACCCAGCGATCCCACGCGTGGGTATTTACTCCAGAGAAATGAAACCGTATATTCCCGCAATGACCCGTACAGGAAGGTTCATGGTGCTTGTTTTTGTGGTTTCGGGGGTTTTTGTTTTATTTCTTTCCACAGCGCTTGTTTTCACATCGCCGGAAACTGGAAACAACCCAAAACGTCCATCAACTAGCAAACAGATAAACGGGTTGCCATGTATCCATTCCAGGACGCTACTCGGCATAAAAAGGAAGGAATTGTTGGTAAGCAGGGCCTCATGGATGAATTGCAAATGTGTTAGGCTGAGTGAAAGAAGCCAGTCTCTTACAGTTCTATTCCTAGCTTTCTGGAAAAGGTAAATCAAATCTTTGGTGACAGAGGGCAGAAGCTGGGGGACAACAGGAAGGATTCGCGGCAAAGGGACAGGAGGGAAACTTTGGGGTGGTGGAAATGTTCCGGGTCTTGATTACAGTGGCGGTTTCATGGGAATACACATGGGCCAAAACTCCTCAAATTGTACACTTTATTTTTCAAATGTATGTATTTATTTATGTATGTTTAAAGTTTATTTTTGAGACAGAGAGAGAAGGGAGGGGCAGAGAGACAGAGAGAGAGGGAGACACAGAATCCAAAGGAGGCTCCAGGCTCTGAGCCATCAGCACAGAGCCCGACGCGGGGCTCGAACCCACGAACCACGAGATCATGACCTGAGCCGAAGTCGGAGCTCAACCGACTGAGTCTATCCCAATGCTTTAATTCCAGGGTATTTTCTCCGCAGTGCTGATCGCCATCCGGAATGCTCGCATGATAGTATTTTTGTTCATGGTTTCTTCTCTATCTCTCCCAGTAGAATTTAAGCCTCACAAGGGCCAAAACCACCGCCCCTCCTGGGAACACTCACCCCAGCTTGCTGGACACACATCTGTGGAGCCTCCAAAAGCCTCGCTCCGCTTCGCCCTCCCAGAAGCTGTAGGGGCTTCCGTCCTGCAGCCTGTCACTTGCTGGGCACGTCACACACGACGGGTGTTGCAATCGGCCAGACGTGCCTGTCTCCTGCGCACCCGGCAGTGGGAACCCCGAGGGCCAGGCCTTCATCTGATTCACCTAAATTACCATCGTTCCTCCTATTTATTACCTGCTCCTTCAGCGCCAGGTGCCGCATTAAGCATTTTGTCTGCACGTCTCCTGCCTTCCCTCATTCACTCAAGCAGTGTTTATTGAGGAACTGCTTTGTTTCGGGTATTGGCACTCCAGGGGTAAACAGAGCTGGCAGAAACCCCCGTGCCCCAGGAGCTCAGTTTCCGATGGAGGAGATAAAGAATAAATCATGAAAGATGTATCTCCATAGCGGGTCCCAAAGCAAACGTGATCTGAAGGCAAATAAAGCAGGGAAAGGTGATGGGAGGTAGGGGGTGGGATATGCCGTGTGGGTTTTTTTTTTTAAGTTTTTAATTTATTTACTTATTTTTGAGAGAGAGAGAGAGAGAGAGAGAGAGAGAACAAGCAGAAAAGGGGCGGAGAGAAGGAGAGACAACATCCCACGCAGGCTCCACACCGTCAGCGCTGGGCCGGATGCGGGGCTCGAACTCACAAACCGCGAGATCATGACCGGAGCCGAAGTGGGAGGCTCAACCGACTGAGCCACCCAGGAGCCCTGCTAGCTAATTAAATGCGGGACATGACAGAGGCGCCTGGGTGGCTCAGTCTGTTAAACATCTGACTCTTGGTCTCGGCTCAGGTCATGAGCTCACGGTTCGTGAGTTTGAGCCCCGCATCGGGATGGTGCAGAGCCTGCTTGAGACTCTCTCCTTCTCTCTGCCCTTCCCCTGCTTGTGCACTCTCTCTCTCTCTCTCTTGCTCTCACTTAAACAAAAAATGAAGGCCGTGAGAAAAAGAAGAGTCAAGGACAACACGACCCCAAGGCTTTCAGACTCATTTAATCCCAAGGCAACCCCATAATGTGTGATCCTCCTTTTGTGACAGATGATAAAACAGAGGTCCAGAGTGGGCTGGTGACCTCACACCCCACAGGAAGGGGCAGAGCTGAGATTCAAACCCAGTGCTGGGCCTTTGCTCTCTGAGGACCCCACCGCCCAGGCACGTTCACAGCCTCCCCCAGGCCTGGGATGGAACAGGCCAGGCCCACACGGGCACCAGCTCAGGGCAACGACTGCCCAGCGGGTGACTTCACGGGCTGGGTGCACCCCTCTGTGGCATTCCCTCATTGTTTGTCACCGGCGTTGGGTAACTGTGTTTCTCTGCTCACCCGTGAACTCCTACAGGGCCTGACGGGGGCGGATTCATTGCTGTCCCCGGCGTGTCCCTGGCATCGCCCTGCCGGAGCCTGACATATGGTGGCCATCAGTAAGACAATAAATATTTATTAAGCACCTACCTTGTGCTGGCCTATGCCGGGGAGAGCCCTGGGCACCGCCCTCCCGGGATGGACAGTCCAGTGGGGGAGACAGACCCACCCCCCCAGAAAGTGTCACCCCGGGGATGGGCTGGTTTTAGAAAGCTGAGCCCGTGCATCTCATAGAGCAATTAAGACGAGGTGAGCCTGCAGAGCTGGGGACCCACGGGCTACCTCAGGGAAGCCCTGAGCCCTGGGGCTGGAGCCCAGCTCGGCCTCGGATTCCTGGAGTCGGAGGTCTGTCACCAGCTCAGAGCCCTCCTGTGGCTCCACTGCACATAGGATAGAGGACAAAGTCCTCTGATCTTTCCCTGTCACCCCTCTCCGCCCCTCTCTCCCCCTCACTCACTCTGCCCCAGCTGCCCCGGCCTCCACTTCCACTTCGACACCCCGGCAGGGCCAGCCACATTTCTGTCTCAGGGCCTTTGCACTGGCCGTTCCTCTGCCCAGAACACTCTGGTCCTGTGGCTACTCCCTCTGACTCCTTCAGGTCAAATGTCACCCTCTCAGTGAGGTCTCCCTGATTGTCCTGGTGAAAATTGCAAGTGTTCCCCCTCATGGCCCTTCCCTGCTTTGGGGGTAGACGCCCAGTAAATAATGGTCGGGGGGGAAAGACAGAGGGGGCGGAGAAGAGGAAGGGGAAAGGGGAAAAAAACAGGCAGGTCCGTGTAAGCACCACTAGCTTGGAGGCTTACACGGACTAGGACTAACACTAGGAGTGTTAACACTTCTCCCCTCCAGGATAAACCAGTGCTGGGCTGGGAAACTGAGGCACAAAGCAACACCGGTTGGCACGCCTTGGGCCGGAAGGCCCGCCCAGGAGAGAGTCACCAGCGCCACCTGCCGGAGAGTGGTGTCATGACGGCCGTGCCCACCCTGCTGACTCCGGGCGGGTGATGCGCGGGAGGCAGAGGAGACGGGCCAGGGGGCACCCCCAGCGGAAGTGCAGAGTCGCAGCGATGAGCCTCTTTATTCCAGAGGCCCCGTGGGCGCCCCGCCCCGTCAGTGCTATGCAGGAGAGCAGGGCTGCCCAGCGCCCGCCTCACTCGGTTCCTGTACACCTGCCCTCTCCTTACAGCCAGAGGGCACCCCCACCTCTCCAGGAGGGGAGAGCGGCCCCAGCTCCCCGAGGGCTGTGTCCACCCCACATGGGGCCTCAGAAGGGCTGGGAGACAAGGCCCGCCCTGACTCTCCACCCGGGCCTGGGCAGCGTCAGGTCACACTAGCCAAGGCAGCAAGGCCCAGGGCTCCTGACCAGGGCTGCCCCTGGGCCTAGAGGTACATCATCCGGCCAAGCAGGGGTCTCACCACCCAGACGTCGTCCACAATCTTCCCGTCCTGCAAGGGACAAAAACAAAGGAGGTAATGACAGCTGGACGTTCAGACTCCAGGGCCAGGGACCTGGATTCAAATTCCAGCTCTACCTTTAATGGGCTGTGTGAGACCGGACAAATTGCTAGACCTCTCTGAAGCTCAGTTTTCCTCATCTGAAAAGCGGGGATGATAGTAATAGCATGTACATCATAGATCTTGTAAGAATGAAATGAGATTATTTGTAGAGGGCTTTTTAAATTTATGTTTTATTTATGTTTTATTTTTATTTTTATTTTTATTATTTTTTACTTACTTTTATTATTTTTTATTTTTATTTATTTCTTACTTATTTTTATTATTTATTATTTTTATTTATTTTTATTTACTTTTATTATTTTTTATTTTTATTTATTTTATTTTTACTTTTATTATTTTTTATTTTTATTTATTTTACATTTTACTTATTTTTATCATTTATTTTTATTTATTTTTATTTTTTACTTTTATCATTTTTATTTTTATTTATTTTTTTGGCGCCAATTTTTATTTTTTATATTTTTAAAAGTTTATGTATTTTGAGGGAGAGTGCATGTGTGCACATGTAGGGGAGGGGCGGGGAGGGGGTAGAGAGAGAATCCTAAGCAGGATCCACTCTGCCCGTGCGGAGCTGGACCTGAGGCTCAGACCCATGAACTGCGAGATCATGACCCGAGCTGAAACCCAGAGGCCAATGCCCAACCGACTGAGCCGCCCAGGCACCCCGAAGGACGTTTCTGAAGGGGGTCCAGAGCATGGCAAGGATTGCATAAGTGTAGGATATTATTATAAGCACAAACCCCAGAGTCAGACAAACCTCACTTACATCCCAGTGCAACGGCTCTCTCTCCATGACCGTAAGCACATTATCCAACTCTGAGCCTTAACTTCCATATTCTACACACTGGGAGAACCGAATGGGATAACACATAAGCCTACCCCCGGAGCGCGTGGGGCTCAATAAATGGAAGTTATTTATAATAAAAAGAACATAGTTGAGGGAGGGGGGAGGGGGAAAAGAAGAAGAAGAAGAAGAAGAAGAAGAAGAAGAAGAAGAAAAGAATATGGTCTTTAGGGTCATATCTCAGCTCTGTCACCCTCCAGCTGTGTGACCCTTGGAAAATTATTTCCTGTCTCTAAGCCTCAGTTATCTCATCTGTAAAATGGAAAGAAAACCCACCCCATGCGATGGCTCTCGTGATTCAAATACTACGAGATGGAAAGCATCTAGCACAGCATCGGATATACAACAGGTGCTCAATAAATCATCATAATTATTATTTTAAAATTACAGTGGCACAAGTAAATAATGGTGAACCGTGATTATTTGGGTGCATCTAACCTTAAGGCGTCTCAACCACCCACATGTCATATTGGTTTCCCACCTCTTTCAGTCCCTGCTTCATGTTGATAAACACCTATGGAATTTACCATGTTTGGGAAACTGTTCTCAGCACTTCTCTATCATAAGTCATTCAACTATTATCATCCCCTTTAACAGATGGGAAGATTGTGGCTCAAATAGTTGAAATAAGTTGCTCGAGGTCATCCAGCTGGTAAGTAGCAGAGGCAGGATTTGAACCCAGGATTTCCAGCTCTGGAGTCCGTGTGTTTTTGTGTTTTGTTTTGGTTTGGTTTTGGTTTTTTTAATTTTTTAATGTTCATTTTTTTTTTGAGAGAGAGAGAGAGAGAAACAGAGGGTGAGCAAGGCAGGAGCAGAGAGAGGGGAGACACAGAACTCGAAGCAGGCTCCAGGCTCTGAGCTGTCGGCACAGAGCCCGACGTGGGCTCGAACTCACAAAGCGGGAGATCATGACCTGAGAGTAAGTGGGCCGCTTAACCGACTGAGCCACCCAGGCGCCCCTGAAGTCCCTGTTTTTAACCACTCGACTCCAGAACACGCCAGGCCCGGTTACTCAGGGAGGTGATTGGACCGCTGCCCACTGACCTGGTCATCGGACACCTGCTGGATGCGGATGTGGCTTCCATTGAGGATGTGCAGCCGCGTGTACCCGTACTCTTTCACGCGCAAGGCGCTCCAGGGCCGCGGGAAGAGGGAGAAGGGGGTCAGCCGCTCCTCACAGCCCTGCCAGACAGAATCATTCAGACCCAGGGCTGGGGAGGGTGGAGGACCCGCAAGGAGCAGAAACAACCTCCCGGGCCAGGACCTTCCTGCCCCCCAAGGAGGGCAAAAATCCGTTCAGACTTGACCTCACTGATGCTCAGCATTGAGGGTTTTGACCCAGCCAGGCTTCCTGTGCCCTGGGTCTCTGACTTCTAGAAAAGCGCATGGCTGGAAAAGGCTGCCCACTGCAGCGTTTTCTGTAAAAGCCCTGAGCTGGAAGTCACCCAAATGCCCATCAGTGGGGGTCCGTTAAATAAATTATAGCATAGCCATCACAAAGCAGGGCTCTACAGAAAGGTGGCCAAGATGTATAGTAAAAGGGAAAACACAAAATAGATAAAAACCGGTGGGTCTCAACCCTGGCTGCACAACAGACTCCCCAAGAGAGCTTTTTAAATCACCAGTGCCTGGGGGAGAGGGTGTGCTCATCCTCTACAAGCAGCAGAACACCAGGCGACATGAGCAGAGACCATGAGGGACCGCCATCATTGTAATAACTAATGGAAGCAGCCATCACTATAATAACAAATGGAAGCAGCCATCACTATAATAACAAATGGAAGCAGCCATCGCTATAATAACGGATGGAAGCAGCCATCACTATAATAACTAATGGAAGCAACCATCACTATAATAACTAATGGAAGCAGCCATCACTATAATAACGGATGGAAGCTGCCATCACTATAATAACGGATGGAAGCAGCCATCACTATAATAACAAATGGAAGCAGCCATCACTATAATAACGGATGGAAGCAGCCATCACTATAATAACGGATGGAAGCAGCCATCACTATAATAACTAATGGAAGCAGCCATCACTATAATAACAAATGGAAGCAGCCATCACTGTAATAACAGATGGAAGCAAGAATCATCAGTAGATCGTGAAACTAATGGTGAAAGTTTGAGGAATAGCCAGATATTGGCAGAGTCCCAAATGATCTCTCCAGGAGTAATAATATATATTAGTAATAATTATATATAATAAGATAAAATTATAAAACATTAATAATAGAATAATAACTACAACAAATAAAATAACGTAGAGATTACAACAAAGGCAGCTAAATGTTCACACTTGGGAAATGTTGGTAAAGGGGATATGGAAAGTCTTTGTATTTTTGCAACTGTTCTGGAAGTCTGAAGGAATGTCAAAATTTAAAATCAAAGAAAAAAACCAATCTGTGCTGATTAAAGTTCAGAACAGCGATCACGTAGGAGGAGGAGTCTTCTGGTGCTGACCACAGTCTATTTCCTGCTCCAGGTGGTGGCCAACACTGGGCCAATGTCAGGGCCCCTTTCTCGAAGATTCTCGTGTTTGTTGTGGAGTGGGGCCCAGACATGGGAGTTTTAAAACTTCCCCATGGTATGCGTACCAAAGCTGAGAACCCCTAGGGTATGAAGCATGATCCAAGTTGTTTTTTAAGAGTGAGCAATACAGTAACACATCTCTATCAAGACAATGACTCCGTTGTACATGCAGAGAACATTCTAAAATGCCATCCAAGAGCCAGAACAACAGAGTAGGACTACGAAGGGGTGTGGAGGGCTGGTGTTCACCTCCTGCCCCCTGAACTGTTTGAATTTTTGTCACAAGTGGTTCTTACTTTGATCGTCCTGATTTGTAAGAACCGGCTTAAAAAACAAGCCCTCTTGCCTTGCAGAAATGAGTGATTGCAAGGCAGAGGGCGGGGGGCAGGAAAACACAAGATGATCCTGGAGCACCTTGGAGCGCCAAAAAATAAGGAAGTGCTCACCAAATGACAGGGGCACGTGGGAAAAAAACACAGCACCTGACCGGAAGCCTTCCCAGTGGCCCAAACAGGAGCAGTAAGGTAATAGCGGTCGTATAAGATTATCGCCCACAGGATAGAATCATTACCCGTGAGTCCAGACTGGTATAAATCAATAACTAACTACATAAATGGAACAGAAGGAACAACTTTTCCTCATGGGAGGCTTCTAATTAATAAATCTAGGAGGAACGCGGGAAATAGAAGCTCCCCATTAGAACACCACAGTACTAATTCTTGCTGGCAAGACCCGCCAAGGGATTCAACACTCAGTGGGTGAAAGCTTGAGGACAGACGGGATATTTGCATGGCGGCAAAGTATCCCCCTGAAGACACTTATTAATTAGAAAGGGAGCCATAATACATTCACGGTGGAGGAACCCGGCAGACACCTCCTTCACCAGGTGACGCAGGGAAACACCTCCAGGAATGAGACACGCAGACGGCACGTCACCCCCGGTCACACCATCACTTCTGGGTGACATCCAGGCACTGTCTTGCCCCGAATGCATAACCCGAGGCTCAGCGTCAGACATGCCCAGACCCAAGGGCCATTCTGCCAGACAACTGGCCGGGAGTCTTCCAAAATGTGAAGGATGAACGACAACGAAAGACGGAGGAACCGTCACCGATGGGACAAGACTCAGGAGACCCAAGATACTGGACACAGTGTGGGATCCCGGAACGGGGCGGTCGTTAGTGAGAAGTTCGGGGAAATGGGACTAGTCTGGAGTTCAGGTGCGATGAGGATAATAATAAGCCCGGTGCCTCTGGATCATCTGGTGACCGGGGCAACCCCTGCCACTTACTGAACCCACTACTGAACGAGCATCTGATTGCCTGTGCCTCTGTTTCCCCATCTGTACAATGGGCATGCTACTAGGGGCACCTACGCTCTCGGGTTGAGAGTTGGTGACGGTGACTATACAAAGCACATGGCACCGAGGCCAGTACAAGAGGCGATGAAAGTCAAGAGGCAAGAAGCCGAAGGTGCCCCCTTCCCGCCCTGCTCACAGCAGATCCAGTGATGATGTGGACGGGGCCTCGGGGGTTGGTATACGGCATCTCTCGGCTGCCATTAAACACCTGGAGGAGGGAGCGAGGAGGAGGGGCGTGTTACAACAGGCCACACCCCGGGGCGTCCAGGGGTCCACCGACACCAGCCACACGGGCCCTTGGCCCTCCCTGAGCCTCACCTGGTAGTCGTAAATGGGCCACAGCCGTTCGTACGAGTGCTCGTGAGCCCACAGCTGCAGGTCGACCCCTGAGACAGAAAAAGTGGGGGTCAAGCCCCTGGACCCTGGAGAGATCAGGGGGCGGGGAACTCCCCCGGGTCACTCACCATGTTTGTAGAAAAGGTCCTCCAACCCATACAACTTGCCAAGGAGGCCTTTGCGAACCTGGGCAGGGCGACAGAGGAGGTGAGTGGTGAATCGGATCGGCCCCCACGTGGCGCTCGGCACCCCGCCCCCGGGGAGGGGGTCCCCACCTTGCTTTCGTGCCATGTACAGTCGTCCAAGTCTGCATTGGAACAGTACATGGGCCGGTGGCCCATGGTGATGATCCACGGCCGGGCCGCCCGGTTCTTATTGGCTTTCTGGAGAGAAGAGCCCAGAGTGAGAGGCAGGGAGAGGGGAGGAGGAGGGCAGGCTGGTCAGGGGATGAGAGGGGACCTCCAGCCAGGTTACCTGGAGGTCGCTCTCCAGCCAATGGAACTGTCTCTCTACGAGGTGGCGGCCATAATTGAGGAAGAAATACACTTCGGTGGAGAAGGAGATGATGTGCGCGGGGCCCAGATCCCAGCTGGAGGGGTCAAAGGGCATGGGTCAAAGGTGGGGTCTCCTCTGCATCTCCCGCCCTTCGGGGGAGGGAAGCCAGTCCCCCAGGTCCCCCAGATTACCTGTACCACAGGCCTTGGTTGTTCCCCGGCATGCTGAAGCGAGCCTTGTAGTGAGAGAAGTTGCTGGATAAAAGGAAATAAAGGGGTGGGAAGAGACTCTGGGTTCTCCGGTCCCACCCCCACCTCCCCACTTCCAGGCTGGGTCTGGCTCCCAGCCTAGCCCTTATCTCCACTAATCAGCAGCTGCAGCACCGAGGGACTGAGGTGAGACACTAAGAAGGACACATCCGTTTTCACCGCTCAGGCCCCCGCCCACCCTGAAGCCCTCGGCCCTCACTAGCGCTCTTCATGATTCCCAGGGCAGGTCATGTAGGGCAGACTGGCGGCCACAGGTTCGATGAGCCGCATGAACTTGTCGCCGACGCGAGCGTTGTCCTGATCCATGTTGTAGGCAAAGTCTCCTGAGGGGCGGGCGGGGAGAGAGTGAGGACCCAGGCCCGGCTCTCCTTCTGCCAGGACTGAGACAGCTGCTCAGTTGGCTGTAACTCTGGCTCGGAGCCATCCTGGTTCTCCGATCCCTACCTCACACCCACCCACATGTGCCCTTAGGACTGTTTCCCGAACCTCTGGTCTGAGCCCCCGCCGCAGGACCGTGCTGGTCTCCTGTGCTCTGATTACACCGGCCCACATCTTTGCCCGCCCTCTTGTCCCCTCCCAGGACAACGATGTTAAGAGCGACACAGTCTGATACTGGTTTCGTACCAGGCACAGTTCCAAATGCTTCACATTCTTGATCACCTGAATCTTCAATACACCCTCTGAGGTGGATATTATTATGACCTCACTTCGAACGGGGAAACTGAGGCCCAGGGGGGCCGTGCAAGGTCACAAAGCTGTAAAGACCTTGTAAAGTAAAGACCCAGGAATCAAGCCCCGAGAGTCTGATTCCAGAGTCTGCGGCCTTGTACCTTATCAGCCCCAATCTCCATCTCCCATCTGTTTCCCTGTCCCTTGAAGCCACAGCAGTAATGATAATGACAATGAACATGTAGCACTTACAGCATGCTGGGCAATGTCAACTATTTAGTCATGACGACAGTCCCGTGAATTCTGACCCAGTCTCAGCTGTCACAGGGGAATAACGCAGAGGACAAAAGCAACGCTCTACGTGTTGGGAGCTGGGATTCTCACCCGGGCGTTCTGGTTAACCGTAGACACCATCGCCAAGGTCAGGCGCATCCCCGGTCCCTTCAGAACCCCTTGGCCCCGGCCAGGTCCCTTCAACAGTCCTCCCACCCACGCCCCACCCCACACCTCTGGGCGCACCCTTGCCGATGCCTCACCCACATGGAGAACAGCATCGTACATGCCCTGCTGGGTGTCCCTGCGCAGCCGGGGTAAGGCCTTCGGGTTGTCAGCCCCCAGGTCCCCAAACACAGCCAGGCGGGGACTCCAGTGGGGACCGTTCTTCAGGGCCCTGAAGCGGAACCGACGGCTCCAGCCCCGAGAACTGCCGCAGCGGTAAACTGAGGGAAAGGGAAAGGTCGTGGTCAGCGAGGGGCACCCCCGGCCGTCTCCTCCACCGCCATCCACCTTCAGCTGGTGGGGGGAGGCGGTGGGGGATCGAAGGGTTCTGACCTGTGCCCTCTGGTCCACCCGGCCCCGGACCCCAGCGCCTTCCATTTTCATCTTCAAAGTCTCCTACAATGGGGTCCGGGTAAACAGAGCAGTTGTCAGCCCAGCCCGAGCCCCCTGCTGGTGGTAGTAGCTTCTAGTCTACACCGCACTCCTCTTCCTGCTCCCCTCAACACTTGGGTCCGGGGCCCCTCTCACCGTACTGGACCCCTGGCAGCAGCCCCCGCAGCGTGACTCGGTGTATATAGAACTTCCGCCGGAGCACGCCCCCATCCACGAAGGGGCTGAAGGTGCCCTGGGCCCGGAGGGGCAGGGGCCCCGTCAACTGTAGGCCGAACTGCACTTCAGAGTGGGTGGGGACCCATGTGGTCCAGGTTACCGTCATGGAGCCTGGCTCACCTGGGGAGAAAGGAACAGAGTGGGGCTGGGCGGTGAGGCCTGGGGGGGTGGGGGGGCGCTGAGGGGGGGAAGGGAAGGATGCACAGAGAGCGAGGGCCAATAACTAAGAGCTCCTGAACACCGAGGAGTCAAGGGACACAGTTCCGGAGCTCCCCAAATTCAATCCCGGCTCTGGCGTTTCTAAGCTGTGCTTCCCTGAGCAAGTCGCTTCACCTCTCTGAGCCCCAGTTTCCTCATCTGTAAGGTAGAATGACAATAATATCTACTCTACAGGGTTTTGATGAGGCTTAGGTGAGTAAATACGAGTAAAGCGCCTGCAACAGTGCAGCTGGGATTACATTATTAATATCATTATTCACTCTGTGCAGACCTTGTGCCACTTTACATGCATGATTTAAAAAAAATTTTTTTTTTTTAATTTATTTGAGAGAGTGAGAGAGCGCGAGCTGGGGAGGGGCAGAGAGAGAGAGAGAATCCCAAGTAGGCTCCCCAATGTCACCAGGCACCCCCATACCTGATATTATTTGGGGGCTATAAATTTAGATGTCTAGAAGCCTGCTGGGTAATATAAACGGAGACAAGGGCCAGCTGGAAGGAATAAGGCAGCAAGGAGTTATGGTGTGTGTGGCCAACTGTAGCCCCTGCCCTGTCTCAAAGGGGCGGCCATCGCTGGCTCTGGTGACAGCCACCATGTGGGCCCAGTGCCACGAAATCTGTCAGCTTCTAGACTAAGTCTCTATGTGGTGGTTTTCCATGTTTTAGCGCGGAGCGGGATGCGGGGCTCAATCCCACGAACCGTGAGATCACGGCCTGCGCCGAAATCAAGAGCTGGCCCCTTAACGGGCTGAACCACCCAGGCACCCCAGAGATCCAAACTTTTAAGGGACAGTTCAAAATTCTTCAATGTCGGGGCACCTGGGTGGCTCAGTTAAGCGTCCGCCTTCGGCTCAGGTCATGATCTCGCGGTTGGTGAGTTCAAGCCCCGCGCCCAGTTCTGTGCTGACAGCTCGGAGCCTGGAGCCTGCTTGGGATTCTGTGTCTCCCTCTCTCTCTCTGCCCCTCCCTTATTTGTGCCTATAGTCAGCTACTCTTCATGTAAGAGGATAAACACAAGTTATCTACTCCTTTCTACCAAAGAAATACAGGAAGGATACAGCAGAAAGGAAATAGATGGGTTACTTACATGGGGTGGATGGGGTAGAAAAGGCGGGGACAGGAACACAGCAGGAAAGACCAGGAGAGAAAACACTACCTTTTTTGTGTAATTCTGACTCTTAGAATTATAGTCCCGCTTCAAATTTCCTTCACGCACTCCCCAAATAAACTAACAGTTAAAGCCACCCAGGATGTGGGGAGAAGCCAGCATGGAATATAACTACTGACCAATGGAGGTAACTATATTTAAAAAGTGGACAGGGGTGGTGGGGCGCCTGGGTGGCTCAGTCGGTTAAGTGCCTGACTCTTGATTTCAGTTCAGGTCATGATCTCCCGGTTTGTGGGTTCGGGCGCCCCGTTGGGCTCTGTGCTGACAGCTCAGAGCCTGGAACTGCTTCAGATTCTGGGTCTCCCTCTCTCTCTCTGCCCCTCCCCCACTCACGCTCTGTCTCTCAAAAATAAATAAACATTAAAAAAAATTTTTTTAAGTGAATAAAGTAGCCACACCGAAGGGGTGGGTAACCACGGGAACTAGGTCTCGACTGGACACTGAGAGACTATAGAGAAAAGGTACAAACCTCCAGTTATGAAATAAATAAGTCACCGAGATGAAAACAGTACAGCACAGGGAATATAGTCAATTATATCATAATAACATTGTATGGTGACAGATTTCGACTACACTTACCGTGGTGAACACTGAGTAGTGTATAGAATTGTCCAATCACTATGCTTTACACTTGCAACTAATATAACATTGGATGTCAACTTATACTTCAGTAATAAAAAAATGTTTTTAAAAAGACGACAGAGGGGCGCCTGGATGGCTTAGTCGGTCACGCGTCCGACTCTTGGTTTCGGCTCAGGCCATGATCTCGGGGTTTCATGGGTTCCAGCCCCAAAGCGGGCTCCGTGCCCACAGCGCAGAGCCTGCTTGGGATTCTCCATCTCCCTCTCTCTCTGCCCCTCTCTGACCCACGTTGTCTCTGTCTCTCTCAAAATAAAATAAACCTTAAAAAAAAAAACCCAAAACCTCTCTCCTTTCAGAAAAATAAAAAATAAAAGGACTACAGAGGAAAAGGACCACACACACGTTGTTACCTACTAAATGTTCTCCGGAACCGCTTTATGCCCATACTCGCGTTGAGCAAATAAGTAAGCATGTTGTAGAAGTGGAAGGTAGGTTTCTCAATGCTGGCGAGAGAAATTACAAACAAGGAAAGAAAATGGCCAAAATAAATCCTTGATTTAGAATCAGAGGTATCAGGGGCTCCTGGGTGGCTCAGACGGTTAAGCGGCCGACTTCGGCTCAGGTCATGATCTCGCGGTTCGCGAGTTTGAGCCCCGCATCGGGCTCTGTGCTGACAGCTCAGAGCCTGGAGCCTGTTTCAGATTCTGTGTCTCCCTCTCTCTGACCCTCCCCAGTTCATGCTCTGTCTCTCTCTGTCTCAAAAATAAATAAATGTTAAAAAAAAAAAAATAGAATCAGAGGTATCAGCATGATCTCATGGTATGTAGTGTATACACACAGATAGACGCGAAAATAGAGATGTGTGCATGCGCGTGTAACACACACACATGCTGCCTAGCTCTGTGAAAGGGCCTGGAAGCAATGATACCTCGGTAGCCGCGAGCACACCGAGTGCTCAGATCTTAGTTTCTAAATACCCATTCTCCAGTGAAAGAAACTGGGGCTCCTTGGATAAGCGGTTGATTCCAAAGATGGGGCAGGAAATATACAAGATAAGCCTGGAATAACCTATGATCCCAGAAAAAGTGGAAGTGCTCCAAGAATGATGGGGGTTTGTTGAAAGAACACAGAAGCCAATCTGAAAGAAATCCAGAAGACCAAATCCGGGACAGTTTGAGCCACAAAGTAAATAACAATAGTACTGTATATTTAACCGATGGAACAGTGGGTATCTGTAAGTCTATACTGACATAAAAGAATGAATGGATGGATGTATGGATGGATGGATGGACGGACGAAGGGGAGAAGGAACAGCTCTCCCTACAGAAAAGTTTCGTTAGATGGACACAGGGAATTAGAAAGTTACAAAGTCACAATTAGGCAAACGCCACCTAATAATTGTTGCAGGCAAGATCCACTGACAGCTGCCAAAGTTGGCTGGAGGAAGTTTCCAGAGAAACATTCATTTGCATGGTCTCAAGGAATCTCCCCCAAGATACTCATTAACCACAAAGGGAAGAATAAAAATCCTGCCCTGGAGAAACCCAGCACGCACCCCTGTAACCAGGCGGTGAAGGATAACAGCCTCAGTAACAGCCATAAACTGTGTCAGCATCATGAACTCTCTGATAACAGGCACCGGGAAAGACACAACATCGCAGCGGTGATAGTCTTGCCAGAAAAACACATAACTTCACCCTAATCTTGAGAAAATACCTGACCAGCCCCAAATGAGGGCTACCCTACAAAATAACTGCTCAGTGCTAAATAATGTCGAGAGCACGAAAGACAAGGAAAGACTTTGCAACTGGCAGGTTGGAGATGACTAAGGAGAACAACTAAATGCTGAATGACAAAATAACTGAGTGGAAAAAGTGCTGACATACGAACAGGGTCTCTAGTTCAGTTAATAGTATTGTACCGATGTTAACCTCCACGAGCCTCAGTTTATGCTCCTGTAAAATGGGAGTACCAATAGTACCTACAGCATAAGATCCAATTTGAGGTGAAGTGAGTTATCTATCTGAGGGACTTAGTAAGAGTGTATTTGCTCTTGTTACTGTGCAAGCCAAACAAGGGACAGCTGTCATCCCACTGGATTTCCACAGCAGCACCATGAGATGGGTTTTATCATTGTTCCATTTTACAGAGGCTTCCAGGCAAAGTGCCTTGTCCTGGGTCAGTTGGTCAACAAACGCCAAAGCAGTGTGTTTGTGAGTTTCAGGTTCTACATTGCAACTAACCTTTAGGCCACGCTCTTCCTCAAGTGTCAAGGACATTAAAAAAACAAACAGGGGCGCCTGGGTGGCTCAGTCGGTTAAGCGTCCGACTTCAGCTGAGGTCACAATCTCACGGTCCGTGAGTTCGAGCCCCGCGTCGGGCTCTGGGCTGATGGCTCAGAGCCTGGAGCCTGTTTCCGATTCTGTGTCTCCCTCTCTCTCTGCCCCTCCCCCGTTCATGCTCTGTCTCTCTCTGTCTCAAAAATAAATAAACGTTAAAAAAATTTTTTTTTAAAAACAAACAAACAAACAAACAAACAAAAAACCAACAAGGAAAGACTCAGGAGCTGTTACAGAGAGGAGGAGATTAGAGACATAGAGTCAGAAGCAGTGTGGAGTCGTGGGTTGGATCCTGGATTAGAAGGAAGACATTAGTGGAAAGATGGGTGAAGTCCATAGTTCAGTTAGTGATATGATGCCAATGTTAATTTCTTAGCCTTGACAACGGTACCATGGGTACATAAGACATTGACATTTGGGGAAGCTGGGTGAAGGGGGTACACAGGAACTCTGCACTCTCTCTGCAACTCTTCCATAAGTCTAAAATTATTTCAAAATAAAAAGCTAAAATTATTTGAAAGACAGGGCTGTGTGCTGAAATTTGGTGCAGTATCGAAAAGCTATAGGCACAATAATTTGAAACTCCTTTTAAAAGCCTGCTCCCCGGGGGCGCCTGGGTGGCTCAGTCAGTTGGGGGTCTGACTTCTGCATCGGTCATGATCTCACCTCTCGTGAGTTCAAGCCCCACAGAGGGCTCTGTGCTGCCAGCTCAGAGCCTGGAGCCTGCTTCAGATTCTGTGTCCCCTATTCTCTCTGCCCCTCCCCTGCTCATGCTCTGTCTCTCTCTTTCTCTCCCTCTCTCTCTCTCTCTCTCTCTCTCTCTCTCAAAAATAAAATAAAACATTAAAAAAATAATAATGAAAAAAGCCTCCTCCCTGTTTCAACCCAGTGCCCGTGAGAAACCAAATTTTCTTCCTGTGTATCATCCAAAGCAACCTATTGCAACAGCAGCAGAAGCAGATGTGGGGAGAATCTGGCTGTCTCCTATGAAGCCAGACATTAAAGAGGCTTAGAAAGATGTAAACCAGTGCTGCTCTTCTCATGAAATTTCTTTTCTTTTGCATAGTAATATCTCATGAAAAATGCCATTTACCTAATGCAGAGCGGATTTATTAGTGTTCACGTTAAATGACTTAGAATTTGTAAATGCCTCAGTTTTAGTTTCTAAGATGCAAATATTTGGCTATAACTCACATAAACCAAAGGTCTTTGAGGTTCTCAATAATTTTTAGCTGTGCCAAGGGGCCCTGAGACAAAAACGTGGGAGAAG